CCGCGACTAAAGGCCTTTGGGCACCTTTAGTCGCGGTTGGCCTGGCCAACCGCGACTAAAGCCCGCGAGCGCCCTGGGCCCAGGCATTTGGTCGCGGTTCATCTGCCGAACCGCGACTGAAGACTTCATTAGTCGCGGTTCCTACAGTTTCGTGACTAATGAGGCTGGACGGAAGCCTCTTTTTCTACTAGTGTTGGGGAAACATTCGGCTTACTTACAAGCATGGTATACTTCTTATATGTAAACTGAAATATAACTATTTACAAGAGCATGGCATTAGAAGTCAAAACAGAGCTTTGAGCCTTTCACAACTGTTTTCATTACCATGGAAAGTTAACAAGCTAATAAATTCATGTAACCTGGAAACATTTTTATCTATGAACCTAGTGAATGTGACAATATATAAACTACTAATCTACTAATGATCAAGTTGAGAAATTAACTGCATATAAAACAAAAGCAACATCTTTCTTGACTAGAGATACTTATCAGTTAATATAACTTAGCAAGTGTGTGCTAACGGAAACTCTACTAACTAGGATTCTGTCAAAGTAGTGGATGCCTTACAAATTACAAAAAGAGTCACTAGTAGAAAAAGGGGCTTGGTTCGGCCAGAAAAGAGCATTAGTACCGGTTACATTACGAACCGGGACTAATGCATTAGTCCCAGTTCGAGCGGTTAGGGCACCGTACAATCATTACTCCCGGTTCAAATGGGACCTTTAGTCCCGGTTGGTGCCGGGACTAAAGGGTGTGATGCACATTAGTACCAGTTTGTGGCACGAACCGGTACTAAGCCTAACCTTTAGTACCGGTTCGTGGCACGAACCGGTACTAATGGGGTTGAGGCATTAGTACCGGTTCGTGGCACGAACCGGTACTAATGGTGCAATTTTCAAATCCTACCCCCCCCCCTCCCGGTGTATCGCCTTTTCAGTTTTGTAAAAAAGCAAAAGAAAATAATAAAAACTTCAAAAGTTAAAATCCTTCGAGATGTAGTTATGTTACTACATCTACTAGTTAGGAAAATTTAAAACTTAAATTTGGACATGTTTTGCAAAAAGTGTAGGGAAAATGTAAAACGGCTATAAAACTTTTGCATACGATGTCAGAAAAAAATGTATAATATATCAAAATGTTCAGCATGAAAATCCGCATCCGGTTTTGACAGCCTATGGCCTATTTGCAAATTTTTAGAATCCTCAAATTCTAAAAAGAAAAAAAGTTATGCTCAAATTTCATTTTTTTTTGAATTTTCGTTAAATCTGGTCAAACTATGATCAAACTACTTATTCAAGAAGTATTAGTGTTACTAAATAATTATTCAAGGATATTAGTGTTACTAAATAATTATTTCAATTTTTTTGAATTTTGGTCAAATCTGGTCAAACTATGGTCAAACTACTAATTCAAGAAATATTAGTGTTACTAAATAATTATTGTTTTTTAGAACGACAGTTTCAAACTCAAACAGTGAAATGTGTGACTTCATGCTCAAGCTAAACTCCTGAGGGTTAATAGGATTGACATCTTACTATTGTCAGGAAAACAACAAGTGCAGACTTGAAAAGGAGGGAGAATAGAACCCGAAAGTTAAGCGTGCTCAGGCTAGGGTAGTGAGAGGATGAGTGACCGTTCGGAAAGTTAGATGATTTGGAATGATGAGGGGTGATTAGAGATTAGAGGTTAAATTAAGCAGTGATGAGGGCTGATTAGAGATTAGAGGTTAAAATAATTCAAAAATTTGAAAATTCAGGAAAAGTTTCAAAAAAAATAAAAATAATAAAAAAATCATAAAATTTCCTTTAGTACCGGTTGATGGCACCAACCGGGACTAAAGGTGGACCTACACGCAGCGGCCATGTGGAGGGCCTTTAGTCCCGGTTTGTATAAGAACCGGGACTAAAGGGGGGGGCCTTTAGTAACGACCCTTTAGTCCCGGTTCCAGAATCGGGACTAAAGGCCCTTATGAACCGGGACAAATGGCCCTTTTTCTACTAGTGAGTTAATACACATAGGAAAAAATAATCATCACATTATCCTAGCATGTCTCACCAAATAATCATCTCACATATTGTTCACTTCATCTCCACCATCCCATCACCAATGCCAGTACCTACAAAGATAATAAGTCAGGAACAATTGACAATCTGATGGAAAACCAAAGAATAGAGAGACTTATAATGGGATACCTAGGTCAACTGAGACTGCATAGTAATGCATTATGAGAAAAATAACATGAGCCAAAGAAAATTATGTATTCTCTAGTGCAAAACTGTAAATGGACTCCTTACTTCAGAAAGATATTCAACAAAAAAATAAAATAGGACTTAAGTATATTCAACTGGTTTCAGCTTCCAAACAAAAGAGTGTAACTAGTTTTAAGCTTCAAAAGGTGCCAACGGAGTTACACATTTGGTTATCTAGGTCTAAGCTTCCATTTACTTCTCTTCCATTTTAAACTCTTATGTGTCACACGTTTTCGAGAGAACGGCAGACAACCGCGGTCCAGTACTGACTATTACCATAACACAATCCACATGAGAGATAAGATAATTTCTAGATATCATCTTGAGTAAACTCAAATCCTTGTCAAACCAAGTGGAAAAGTAAGACATTACGAAAACTAAAAATCCGACGAGAAACATAATAGGTTCAGTTGTGCATCTAAACTAGCTAATAACAACAGGGCTCTTCCACAAGTGACAAAAACTATTGTCTTGATTTCCAATTGGTATGCATCCGATGCTAAAAAGATATATACTTGATAGGCACATAAGACTACGTTTGAGACACAATTTATGCATACGACCAACAGAAAAGAACAGTGACCTTAAGTACCTTTTTCTTCTTAAAGAATTCATCAAGTAGCAAAAGAAAAAAATTGATGTGATTTGAACTTCAATCATCAGCACAATACCAAAGGATATGATAGGCATTTCAGCAACCAAAAATAATAATTTTCTAATAGGGAAAATGTATGTCAGTCCCACTAGTCTTCCTTGAATTTCTCACTTTGCCCTTACATTTTAGGTAACTATGAAACTGCCCCCCTTCCATCCATTTTATTATGATTTTGCCATAAAGTATTGGCGAAGTCACAATTCTAAGGAAAACTAGTAGCAATGACATAAATTTCCCTATCTTATAATACTGAATAAATTAATATAAAGGGCTTGCTATTAATACCTGCCGCGTAGCAAAACTCAAATGGATAATAGCTATGGAAGCCGGTCATATTGGGAAGTTTCTTAAACTCCATTGACTGGAGATAGACCATGAACAAAGCGGAACCTATCTTTAAAAGTAGTGCATTACTCTCCTCGGCAAACCCCACTAAAAATAGGTACCCCTTCCAAGTTGAACTGAGCTCCTTGAATTCAATAGCTCTGTCGAGCACCCATACAGCCAAACCATCAGAATCAGGCTTTCTCTTCCATATCTCGGCGTGGAATCCTGAGAGATCAATGAAGCCAAGCCCACCATCCTCTGTGGGCATAATCCTTAGCTTTGAAATGCCGGCTTCTATGTGCGGTGGCAGCTCTATCACAGCTAGGCTCTGCCTATCCAAATCAAACTCAACTATGACATACCGGCGATTGTGATGATGCCCCTCCTTAATTAACCAGCAAATGGAATTCCCAATCAAAGTGCTGGGTTCTGGCGAGGCTATAAACGATTGCAGCTGCAGTGACTTGATATTGCTCCATGTGCCGTTCTCTGATGAGTAAAGGCATGCGAAAACTCTTTTAGGATTATCAGCACGTACGTAATGGGCTACCAGGGCCACCTGGAAATGGCCGTGACTGCGGGCAGGGCGAAGCACCGCCCCGTTGAAGATGAACATCTGGTCAACGTCCAGCTCTGGTGGGAAGATGAGGCGGCACTGCTCGCGGGCGACGGGATCCCACACCAATAGGTGGCGCGGCGGCCATGTGCCCATGTGTTTTGCCTTGAGCTGAAGATAAGTACAAGTCCATGGCGGCAGTCGACGATGCGGTTGCCGTCATGGAGAGGCTTGAAGAAGCGATCGCCGGGGATGCGATCTGGTCGATCCAGCAGTGGAACAAACGGACAGGAGCTATACTCATCGAGGAAGAAGCCAAGGAGAGGAGGCTTGCCGTGGTGGCCGCGGAAGCGGCGTTGGAATCGGGGATCGCCGATGAGGCTGCGCCAACGCTTGCAAACGAGGGAGGCCCTGGGGAGGGAGGAAGGGCGGGGCGGCAGGCGGAGGAGAATCTCCCGGAGCAGGTCGTCGTCGTCTGGCAGAGAGGCGGGCGGCGGAGGGGTGCGGCGGAGCGGAGGAGACATCTCCCCTCGCGTGCTCATGGTTAGGGTTTAGCGCCGCAGCTTCTCTCAGGGCTTGCTTGGTCACTTCATAAACCATCTGGATTGCCCGGGATCATGGCTCGATCCACGAGGGTCGTCCCAGCCGGGAAAAGTTACACGTGGTTACAGTTTAGTTGTTTCGTTTGGGCCAGGCCGAGCGAATTTCAGACCCATCGTATAGTGCAAAAATTCAGAAATTTTCGAAATTATTTCGGATTTCCACAATGCAAATCCTAACCAAAATGCCACCGAAATTCATGGAATTTACTGAAAATTGTTCTGATTAGAAAACACACACACGATATGATATCAAAATTGTTCTGAAAGAAAGCTTTGAAAATGACCGTATGGGTTCAGTCTACAAAGGCCACCTTACAGAAAGATTTGAATATGAGCAACCAATTTTACTGTGAGGCTAGTGGAACGCCGACTCGTCAACTAAGAGATACATAATAAGCAAATGAACCACTCAAAATACAAGGAGCAGACTCACGGTGTCCAACTGCCAATTCACCTACTGTCTACAGAGGTCACTGAAATAATATAGTGGGAGCTAACAAATTTAACAGTTCGTTCCTGCAAATGCACTTCGCACTCGATAAGCACATACTGCAACGGATCAATCTTCAGATGGGAATGGATCATCACTGGCCACACCACCAGAAAATACAAAATCTTAACACCAGCAAGCCGTTCCTGCAACTTATACCCATACCTACATACACAACAATCCAATCAGTTACATAGTGCCTTAATGCATGGTGGGCAAATACTGCAACTCTCTAGAGCATCACGACATGCACAGTATAATGTAAATAGCACTAGGGAAATAAATGTCAAAACAATAGAAAGAATAAATATTCGGCTTACTTATATAACCATAGTATACGAAAAATACCCTTTGGAACATGATGGTAATTACACCTGACAACTGATTTTATTTTTTAAAAATTCATAAAAAGTCACAATGTTCCGAAAATTTTCACAACAAACTTGAGCTCGTTTCTGTCGTAAAAAATTATTCTGTAACGAGATATTCTCCGACAAAATTCTGACAAATTGTCAGAAAATATAGCATGAACAGTACCTTGTATACAGCGAACAATTTATTTTTTTTACGCCCACAACAACATGAAAGTCATTTCTTCGCGAAAGATTTTATACGAGTGCAACAATAAATCTACTTTGTTTGCAAAAAAATCAGATTTTTTTACTTTCTTACAAAAAAACGGGTGTAATTACACCCAAGAGCCACAAGTTTCCGTCCGCATACTTCTTATATATAAACTGAAGTACTACTCACAAAGGAACTAGTATTGGCAGGACTCATAAAATAACATTTCTTTCAGCCCAAAATTGATGCCATTTTATAACTTTGCATGCCATTAGAACTCAGAATAGAGCTTTATGCCTTCAACCACCATTTTCATTACCGTCAGAAGTTAACAACATATAATATCATCATATAAAGTTACAAATTCATGTAACCTGGATTTTTTTTATGAACCTAGTCAATGTGACAATATATAAACTATTGATCTAGACATCTAGTAGTGATCAAGTTGAGAACTTGACTTCATATAAAATAAAAGCAACATCTGACTTGACTAGAGATACTTAGCAGTGTGTGCTAACTGAAACTAATCTAACTAGGATTCTGAATTATTTGTGCTCTGGCATATATAGTTTTCAATTACTTAGGCAAAGTAGTGGATGCCTTACAAATTACAAATCGAGTTAATACACATAGGAAGAAAGCATCGGTCAAAGCCCATGCGGCAACAAATTGTAGAATAGCATACATATTCCCGTGGACATATCTAGGAGATAATGTTACGCTACCTTTGCAGTGATCACATCATACTATCATGTCTCACCAAACAAACATCTCACATATTGTTCGATGCTTCATCTCCATCATGTCCATCAAGAATGCCAGTTCCTACGAGCATAATAAGTCAGGAACCAATGACAATTCCGATGGAAAACCATCGATAGAAGAGAGAATTACAATGGGATATCTAGGTCAACTGAGAGGTGCATAGTTATGTAATCTGAGAAAAGTAATATGAGCCATGAAGAGAGTTATTTATTCTCTAGTGCAAATGGACTCCTCACTTCAGGAAAATATTCAACTAAACAGAAAATAGAACTTCAATTTATTCAATTGGTTCCAGCTTCCAAGTGAAAGAGTGTAACTAGCTTTAAGCTTCAAAAAGTGTCGATGGAGTTACACATTTGGTTGGTTCGGGCTCAGCTTCCATCAAGTTTTCTTCCATTTTTGACTGTCATGGCATGTGTCACATTGTCAAGAAAACCGCGACCCAGTACAGAATATTACCATAACACAATTCCCTAAAGAGAAAAGATACTTTCCAGAAATCATCTTCGGTAAACTCAATTTCTTGTCAGACCAAGCAGAACAAATTAAGACATCCCAAATATAAACCTAACAACAAATAAAATAGGTTCAACCTATTTTCATTTTTTTTCCAGCAGGGCTCTTCCACAAGGGACAAGAACTATTGTGTCAATTAACTATTATGTATCCGGTGCTGAAAAGATGTATACTTCAGATAGGCACATAATACTACATTTGAAACACAATTTGTGCATATGAGCAACAGAAAAACTAACAGTGACTTTACGCACTATTTTCTTTTAAAGAATTCATCGGGCAGCATAAGGAAAAATTGATGTGATTTGAACTTCAATCATCAGACTCGAGGATATGATAGGCATTTCAGCAACTAATTACTAAAACATAAATTTGTTTTATAATACTGTGAAGTAAATTATATGAAGACTTGCTATTACCTGCAGCATAGCAACATGCAAATGGATAATGGTGATGACAGAACATCGTATGGGAAAGTTCCTTAAACTCCATTGACTGGAGATAGACCAAGAAGACACCAGAAGGTCGCCGTACAAGGACTGCATTATTCTCCTCGACGAACCCCTGTAAAAAGAGGTAGTCTCGCTTGCAAGTTGATCCGATCTTCTCAAAGTCAATAGCTCTGTAGAGCACCCATACAGCTAAACCGTCAGAATCAGGCATTCTCTTCCATAACTGGGCTTGGAATTGTGAGAAATAGATGAAGCCAAGCCCACCATCTTCGGCTGGCATAATACTTAGGTTGTGATAGCCGGCATCTATGTGTGGTGGCAGCTCTCTCAAAGCTAGGCTCTGCCTATCCAGATCAAACTCAAGTATGAGGCATGACACATTGATGGTTCCTCTGAATTAACCAACAAAAGGAATTCCCAGTCAAAGTACTTGTTCCATTCTGCCATTGCAGCTGCAGTGAGCTGATATTGCCCCATATCCCGGTCTCCAAGGAGTACAGCCATGCCGAAACTCTTTCGCTTTCTCTGTCGCCAGCCATCAGGGCCACCTGGAAATGGCTAGAACGGCAGCCTCGGCCGCCGGCAGGGCGAAGCACACCGCCGTTGAAGATGGACATCTGGTGGCTGTCCAGCTCTGGTGGGGGATCAGGCGGCGCTGCTCGCGGGCAACGGGGTCCCACACAAGTAGCCGCCTTTGGCCGAGGAAAAAGACAAGTCCGTGGCGACAGTCGATGATGTGGCCGTCATCGAGAGAAATGGAGAAGCGAGCGCCGGGGATGCGATCTGGTCGATCCAGCATTGGAATAAACGAACAGGAGCGATGTTCATGGAGGAAGAAGCCAAGAAGTGGAGGCTTGCCGTGGTGGTCGCGGAACCGGCGTTGGAATTGGGGATCGGTGACGAGGCTGCGCCAGCGCTTGCAAACGAGGGAGGCCCGGGGGAGGGAGGAAGGGCGCGGCGGCAGGCGGAGGAGAATCTCCCGGAGCAGGTCCTCGTTGTCTGGCAGAGAGGCAGGCGGCGGAGCGGTGCGGCGGCGGCGAAGGCGGGGAGACATCTCCCCTCTTGCGCTCTTCGCAGTGCAGCTCCCTACAATGGGTTCTCTTTTTTTTTCTTTGAGATTATAGCTCCCCTCAATGAATTTTTTGTCGAAATCACTAATTAAGAAATACTCGTTGCAAAGAACACTCCATTTTCCCAGTCGCGACAAGTGGCGCACATGCAGCATGCCACTTGTCGCAACTTGGAAGTTTTCCTTTTTTCGTAGGTCCGTTTATTCAAAATGTTTTGTCTTTTAAACCATGTGTCCAAATCTCAAACCGTTTTCACTATTGGATTCCTCGTGTTGAGATTTTCAAAACTAGATTCTATGTTGATAGGTTTTGACGAACTTTTTTTCAGAAAAAAACCGGGCGAAAAAACCGAAACCAGGAGCACGATTTTTTTTCCTTTCCGAAAGAGGCATGTCCGTGCCTCTCGCGAAAATCACGCCCGTGCCTTTCGTGAAAGCAAAACCGTGACTCTCGTGGAAGGAAAAAAACAGAAAACACATTTTTTTTCGTTTCTGAGAGGCACGGCCGTGACTCTCGCGAAAGCACAACCGTGCCTCTCGCGGAAGCAAAACCGTGACTCTCGCGAAAGAAAAAAAAACAGAAAACACGTATTTTTTTTCCTTTCTGAGAGGCACAGCCGTGACTCTCGCGAAAGCACAACCGTGCCTCTCGTGGAAGCAAAACCGTGACTCTCGCGAAAGAAAAAAAACAAAAA